AGACAGGCTGCCGCGGAGAGACGGGCTGCCGCGGAGAGACAGGCCCCGCAGAGAGAAGGGCCCCGCAGAGAGACAGGCCCCGCAGAGAGACGGGCCCCGCGCTGTCGCAATGGAAAGGGCAATAAGCAGAGTCCAGTGTTATGGGTCAGGACAGAGGGAGAGACAAGAGGCAATCACCCACAGAGAGATACAGGTGCAAACAGCAGCAAACAGGAGGAGGGGATGTTATACAGAGAGCAGGGAGAGAGAGAGAGAGAGAGAGAGAGGCAAGAGAGAGAGAGAGCAGGGAGAGAGAGAGCGAGAGAGAGAGGCAAGAGAGAGAGCAGAGAGAGAGAGAGCGAGAGAGAGAGGCCAGGGAGAGAGCAGGGAGAGAGAGAGAGCAGGGAGAGAGAGAGAGAGAGAGAGCAGGGAGAGAGAGAGAGAGAGGCCAGGGAGAGAGGCAAGAGAGAGAGAGAGAGAGAGCAGGGAGAGAGAGAGAGAGAGAGGCCAGGGAGAGAGGCAAGAGAGAGAGAGAGCAGAGAGAGAGAGAGACCAGAGAGACCAGAGAGGAATAACATTTGTTTGACGAATGTTCAAAACAAATCCATCTGTTTTTCCAATTGATTTATTTGTTAAAAGTTGATTCTTATATTTTTTGTACCGGATACAAGCTGTGGTGACATTTTTCCTCGTAAATAATTCATGGTGTTTGTCCGAACAGAAGGAGTAAAAGAAAAATGTTGTGAACAAATGAGGCATATTTCTTCATTTGAGGAGAAAACATATATTGTGCAAACTTGGAATGAAAGATCCCTGTGAGTCACTATTTGACACTTTGGGCTGAAAGCTGAGAGAGGGGGGTTCTCTCTTTTTCACTGAGACTGGGGCCAAAAATACATGTACTGTGAGACTAGAAGTTACGTTTCCACCCTTTGTGTTTTAAAAGTTAAATAATGTTTTTAGTCTAAGAAACATTGAAGGAATGTAATCGATACAACAACAACATAAATCTCACAGTAAAAACAGAAAATACTTTTTTTCCCAGGTCAGTTTCACTTTGGACAGTCATGCGTAAAAGTGGAGCCTGGACTTTTACGCATGAGAGAAACGTGTTTTTTATCATAAAACATCAGGTTTAAGTTTGAAGCTGCATTCAAAGTGAATCCATATGAAGTGTTTTTTACTTTTATTCTATAGAAGCCACTGATTTGGTCAAACTGCAGACACAGTTTTATGATTCTCCTCAGATCGATGTGAACAATTAGAGTTTCTCTCCTCAGTGATGGGAGTTTCTTTTGCAGTGCGTCGCGTTACGCAGGGAGCGCGTGTAACCTGACTCTGCTTTAAAAGCTCAGATCGTGGTCCCTGTGATCACAACAACACTGCGGCTGCAGGAGCAGGACCAGACAGAGACCTGAGCCGCGCGCACTGCGCCCTGCGCCTCTAGCCCTCTGCCCTGAGCCCTGAGCCCGGAGCCCAGTCCAAGGGTGCCAGGTCCCCGGTCCTCGGTCCTCTGTGCCTGGTCTTCTGTCCCCGGTCCTCGGTCTTCTGCCCCCGGTCCCCGGTGCCATGCACGCAGCGGAGCGCGCGCTGCTGCTGGCCGCGGGGAACATGTCTCACGCGCTCCTGGAGCTGCACGCGGACAACAGCAGCGGTAACGGATCGGACCCGTTCGCGCGGAACGAGGAGGTGGCAAAGATCGAGATCCTGGTTCTGAGCGTCACGTTCGTGGTGGCGGTGGCGGGAAACGTGAGCGTGCTGCTGGCCATGCGTCACACCAAGAAGAAGATGTCGCGCATGCACCTGTTCATCCGCCACCTGAGCCTGGCGGACCTGGTGGTCGCGGTGTTCCAGGTGCTGCCGCAGCTCTGTTGGGAGGTCACGTACCGCTTCTCTGGTCCGGACGCGCTGTGCCGCCTGGTGAAGCACGTGCAGGTGATGGGGATGTTCGCGTCCACGTACATGATGGTGATGATGACCGTGGACCGATACATCGCCATCTGTCACCCGCTGAAGACGCTGCAGCAGCCCACGCAGCGCGCCTACATCATGATCGTGTCCACGTGGGTCTGCAGCCTGGTGCTTAGCACTCCGCAGTACTTCATCTTCTCTCTGAGTGAGATCCAGAACGGGTCCCAGGTCTACGACTGCTGGGCGCACTTCATCGAGCCGTGGGGGGCCAGAGCCTACATCACGTGGATCACCGTGGGCATCTTCCTCGTGCCCGTGGCCATCCTGATGATCTGCTACGGCTTCATCTGCCGCAGCATCTGGAACAACATCAAGTACAAGAAGCGCAGAAGCTCCGCGGGAACCGCCGCTAAGAAAGGGCTCATAGGGAAACACTCCGTGAGCAGCGTCACCACCATCTCCCGCGCAAAGCTACGAACCGTCAAAATGACGTTTGTGATCGTTCTGGCGTATATCATCTGCTGGGCGCCGTTCTTCACGGTCCAGATGTGGTCTGTGTGGGACAAGAACTTCCAGTGGGACGGTGAGTCTGGAACACTATCCTCCATCTCTGCATCAGTCTGAGTCTGACACTAGCACTAAACAATATACACATTTATACTATGTCCACTTATTAAATTATAAAGTTCCTTTAGCCACTATCATCATGAGTCCGTGCGTAAAAGTCCAGACGCACCACTTTTACGCACGAAGGAGCAGGAGTAATGACGTAATGACGGAGCTCCAAAATGACCACAACAGTTTATGAAAGGGCCGCGCTCTGACATCAACTTTAAACTTTAATGAAGGTCGCGAGGGGCGGGTTAGAGCTGATGTTATGATGTTTTCTTCTGTCGGAGCCGAGCAGGAGAAACGGGCTCTGCGGCTCCTGTTGCTTTAGGGGCCCCGCGACCACACGTCCCCCGCGAAGCTGACGTGCCCCACACACACACACAGCTGACCTCACACACAAACAAACACACACACAAATCATTTATGAACGTCTTGGAAAACTGCTTTAATATAGCGCGATGGTTCTCAACATGTGGTGTCTCGTTACTTTTTGCTTCAGAATAAGTCCATATCAGATTCTTTGTGTCAGTTTTAACCTGGCATTAAATGGTCCTGGTGTTTGCTCTGTTGATGTTGAAAAGCAGCGTCAGCAGATTTCACTCTCTCCTGAAGTGTTTTAACTATAAATTCAGAATTTCTCATTTTTCTATATAATATTATTCATCTTTAATTTTAATTTTTGTTCAATCTTTTGGGCAGTGCAGTTAAGAATGTGGCATTTAGACCTGTCAAAGCAAAGTATTAATATACTCAAGGCGAAAATACTATACGTTCCCTCTCACCTCTGGTCCTGAGGGAGCAGCGTCTGTAGTCAGAGCTCTCCCTCACCTCTGAGCTTTGGGTAATGACCAAATAGACGAGATCATGAATAAAAGCAACACATGAGTCTCCTCTGCAGAGTGGAGCTCCCTCAGAGATACAGGAGCTCAGTCACATTGGAGGAGCTCAGAGTAGAGCCGCTGCTTCTCCATGTGGAGAGGAGCCAGTTGAGGTGGCTCGGAATCTGTTTGGGATGCCTTCTGGGCGCTTCTCTAGGGAGGTGTCTCTCTCTTGCTCTCTCTCTCACTCTGTTCTGGTCTCTGTCTCTGGTCTCTCTCTGGTCTCTCTCTCTGGTCTCTCTCTCTCTCTCTCTCTGGTCTCGCTCTCTGGTCTCTCTCCCTGGTCTCTCTCTCTCTGGTCTCTCTCTCTCTGGTCTCGCTCTCTGGTCTCTCTCCCTGGTCTCTCTCTCTCTCTCTCTGGTCGCGCTCTCTGGTCTCTCTCCCTGGTCTCTCTCTCTGGTCTCTCTCACTGGTGTCTCTCTCTCTGGCCTCTTTCTGGTCTCTCTCTCTGGTCTCTCTCTCTGGTCTCGCTCTCTGGTCTCTCTCCCTGGTCTCTCTCTCTGGTCTCTCTCTCTGGTCTCCCTCTCTGTTCTCCCTCTCTGGTCTCTCTCACTGGTTTCTCTCTCTCTCTGGTCTCTGGTCTCGCTCTCTGGTCTCTGGTCTCGCTCTCTGGTCTCGCTCTCTGGTCTCTCTCCCTGGTCTCTCTCTCTGGTCTCCCTCTCTGGTCTCCCTCTCTGGTCTCTCTCACTGGTTTCTCTCTCTCTGGTCTCGCTCTCTGATCTCCCTCTCTGGTCTCTCTCACTGGTTTCTCTCTCTCTGGTCTCTCTCACTGGTTTCTCTCTCTCTCTGGTCTCTCTCTCTGGTCTCCCTCTCTGGTCTCTCTCACTGGTTTCTCTCTCTCTGGTCTCTCTCCCTGGTCTCTCTCACTGGTTTCTCTCTCTCTGGTCTCTCTCACTGGTCTCTCTCTCTATCTGGTCTCTCTCTCTCTCTCTGGTCTCCCTCTCTCTCTGGTCTCTCTCTCTCTGGTCTCTCTCTCTCTGGTCTCTCTCTCTTGTCTCGCTCTCTGGTCTCTCTCTCTCTCTCTGGTCTCTCTCTGGTCTCTCTCTCTGGTCTCTCTCTCTCCCTGGTCTCTCTCTCTCTCTCTCTGGTCTCTCTCTGGTCTCTCTCTGGTCTCTCTCCCTGGTCTCTCTCTCTGGTCTCCCTCTCTGGTCTCCCTCTCTGGTCTCTCTCTCTGGTCTCCCTCTCTGGTCTCTCTCTCTGGTCTCTCTCTCTGGTCTCTCTCTCTGGTCTCGCTCTCTGGTCTCTCTCTCTCTCTCTGGTCTCTCTCTCTCTCTCTGGTCTCTCTCTCTCTCTCTGGTCTCTCTCTGGTCTCTCTCTCTCTCTTGACAGGGTCAGGGTGTGTGTGGCTCTGACTGGTTGTTGCTTTGCTCTGAATGTTCCGGTGTGAAACGTGTGAACATTATGGATGATCTCAGACTTGTGCAGATGTATTACTCAGCCTTTGTGATGTCACTTGTGCGTCTCCAGTGTCGGATGGAAAGATTTAAAGCCGTCATGTGGAATACTTCAGGATCAACAACAACATTTAGATGGAAATAAACAAATGTGTGGATCTCCGTCAAATACCACCTTAAGTTAAACAGGAAAATCCTTCTGAGATTCTGAATTATGAAAGACAACTGGTCCTAGTGGGCGACAGTGGCTCAGTTGTTCGATCCCACCACAAGACCTACTTCATGACTCCCACTGATGACTGCTGTCGTTGTGTCCTTGGGCAAGACACTTAACGCCACTTTACCTGAAGCCCCCGCTGATAGATCAAGGCTCAAGGGCTGGTGCTCTGTGTACTGGGTTCATCTTTGACTGCCACCCTCCCGACCCAGAAATGGATTAAGGGGAAGAAAATGGATGGATGAACTGGTCCTAGTGTTTCTATGTCTTTCACACGGGCTTAAATCACAGCAGTAGTTATCTCAGAGGCCTGTATGAAATTGTCAATCCCCAACAGATTAGAGAATCAAACAGTTGAAATGTAACAATACAAAATACATTGAAGTCCTGGATCATCTCTGTTCTTAGTTTTGGTTTTCCAGACGTTTGAGTTCTAATCTGGAGGATTCTGAACATTTGTCACTTTCCGATCCCAAAGAGACGACCAGAATTAATTAAACATTAACCAATTATGTCATAGGTTCTTTGGGAAACCCCCCAGGAAGACGCTATAGGGTTAGGGATATTTTTTATGTGTTTTGAATGTGTCAAGATTCAAAAATGTATTCTCCATTTGCAGTAAAACCACAGTGGAAAAACTGTGCAAGACTACCCCAGTGTGCAGTGTTGTATTAAAAGTATATTAACCTTCACTCAGTTTTAAATGTGTGCTTAACAAGGGTGAATGTAGCTTGGAATTGGACAAAGGCTAAATGCTAACGGCTAACAGTAAACAGTGTGTTGCTATGGTAACTAGTACTGCCCCTTCTCATATCTTAGTTTGATATAAATAATGACATAGAAATGACTAAAGAGACAGAAAAACTGACAAACTTATGACAACTAAAAATGTGCTAAGTATTTACACTTCCAAAACTAAAAACCGTCAAATTGACTGCTCTGGGAGTTCAACCGTTCCCCTGGAGGATTCCATGGAACGTTTTGTGTATGGAGGACCTTTTGAGCGTCTCCTTCTCTACTTCCTTTGTTTCGTGTAATATCTGCTGAACCTTGTGCTTAGTTCAAAACCTGCAGGAAAATGTGAAACTCCGATGTTCAAATCACAGAAATAAATGAAATACAGAGAAATACGAATGTGCAGAACACAGACACAGCAGAGACCTCTAACCGGCCTTTTCCTGTTTAGCTTCTCGCTCCGACTCACAATTGTTTTCGTTTTGGATTGTTTTATTCCTGTGTTTTTAGCGTGTTTTAAGAATCGGTTTTTACTGCGAATGGAAGATAGAACTGTAATTTTTCTCTTGTCAAGTGTCTTTGAGTGTCCCAAAAAAGAGGTACGAGGCATTGTTTGTTACTATTGTTATAAATGTGGATCTGAATCTGAGAGCTCTAACAATCCTTTTCCTGATTCGCTTCTCGCTCAGACTCTGAAAACACCATTTCCATTCAGTTTCCCGCACTTTTTAGCTTGTTTAATTCTTTAGCTTGATTTGTGTATCTTCCAATGTGGTATTACTACATATGGAAAAAACTGTATCTGAAGCTGAATCTTGCGACCACTTTTGGAAGCTCATGGGCATCCAAAGAAATATATACATTAAGTTGAAGTCGCAGAATGCAAAAGTGGTCGATTCTCCAACACAGTTTAGAGAATCAAACTCAGGAAACAGTATAAAACACATGGCAGCGTCGGCCCATAAAGCCTAGCGTACATGGACAGAGTAACTGGAGACAACTAGTCGCAAGGCGGCTTTTGGCGACTGAGAGGAGATGATGGAGATGATCAGTTGAAATGGCTCGATGTGAGCGCTCTTCGAACTGGAGATAAACAGTCGATCTCCGGATTCAGTCAGTTGCCCGTGTTCTACTTTTCTTAGGCATTAGAGGCGGATGTTTTCTGTCATTAATCATCGTTTCTGTCATCGTGGCTTTACGAATAAAGATCGATTAATTGAATTTCCTGTTTTGCTTCTCGCTCAGTTAGTATGTGTAAACACTGGGAACTCTTGCACATCTATGCCAATATGGTTTTACTGCAAATGGCAATTAAACTAAATCTGAATCAAAGTACTTTCCAAAGTAGTAGTACGAAGTCTTTTCCTGTTTGGCTTCTCTCTCAACCTATAAAAACATGATTTTGGTTTTATAGTGACAATAGTTTCCTTCACAATTTTAGCTTGTTTAATTCTTTAGCTTGATTTATGTATGTACGTATCTGGTGCAGACTCTTGCATGTGTGTTCAACTGGGATTTTACTGCAAATGGGAAGAAAAAACAGAATCTGAATGTGAATCTGAGCGCTCTAACCAGTCTTTTCCTGTTTTGCTTCTCTCCCAGACTCTGAAAACACCGCCGTGACCCTGTCCGCTCTGCTGGCCAGCCTCAACAGCTGCTGCAACCCCTGGATCTACATGATCTTCAGCGGTCACCTGCTGCAGGACTTTGTGCACTGCTTCTCCTGCTGCGGACGCTTCCGATCCAACCTGAAGAAAGAGGACTCGGACAGCAGCATCCGGAGGACCACTCTCCTCACCAAGATGACCAACCGCAGTCCCACCGACAGCTCCGCCAACTGGAGAGAGCTGGACAGTTCTCCCAAAGTCTCCATACAAGCAGACTGAGGACTGAGGCATGGACAGTCCTACAAAGAGATTGAGACCTGGACTGTCCTCTCTTAGTGTCCATACAAGCAGACTGAGGACTGAGGCATGGACAGTTCTCCCAAAGTCTTCATACATGCAGACTGAGACATGGACAGCCCTTTCTATGTGTCCATACAAGCAGACTGAGAACTGAGACATGGACAGGTCCCTCTACGTGTCTATACAAGAAGACCAAGGCATAAAAAGTCCTCTTTATGTGTCCATACAAGCAGACAGAGGACTGAGACATGGAAAATCCAACAGGCAGAGTGAAACACGGACCGTCCTCTCTAAGAGTCTATACAAGCAGACTGAGACCTGGACTGGTCCCTTAAAGTGTCCATACAGACTGAGACATAGCTAGTCCTACAAGCAGACTGAGACATGGACAGCCCTTTCTATGTGTCCATACAAGCAGACTGAGAACTGAGACATGGACAGTCCTACAAGCAGCCTGAGATAGGTCCCTCAAAGTGTCTCTACAGACTGAGACATAGACAGTCTCTAAGTGTCCATACAATCAGACTGAGACATGTTTACAAAGGTACAGGACATTGCTTAAAAGACTTGTACATAACATTGAGAACGTCTTAAAGCTGTTCGAAGAGAGATTCTTCCCGTTCCGAGCCACACAGACTGGCATTCTCAGACCTCTGGGATTCGTCAACATATTTCATTATGCAAAACTGCTTTTCCAGGAATACCCCAAGCCCCAGCTGAGATTTCCTCCCCCCTCGAGTGCCACCGAGCACCACATCCTCTCAGTCTGTTTACAAAGATAAAGATTTGGAAGCAGCCAGAGGTGCGCTGTGAATGACTCTTCCAGACCACACGGTTCTCAGTAACATACGCAGCTGCCGCTATTTGGGACGTAGCTAAACACCTTAAAGCCGTTTCCATCCAAACTGTGGTTAACAACAGAGCTCCCAGACTTCTGACACTGCTAGAACTCCCAGAGCCGTCATTTTGACTGCTTTCATTGAGCTGTTACATCAGGTTCTCCACCAGATGTATTAAAAGTGAGTGATCTATAAGGTTTATAAACTCACTTTTGCTAAAACTGGTAAATATCACTGAAATACAGCAAAACCAAATAGTTTAAATGCTTATGCTAAATGCTAACAGCTGGGTGTGAGCAGTGTGTTGCTATGGTGATAAGTATTGGCTATTCCCTAGTGGAAAACCAAGTAGACTCAACTCAAAACCAGTCCAGTTCCAGTCCAGAACCAGTCCAGGACCAGTCCAGGACCAGTCCAGGACCAGTCCAGGACCAGTCCAGGACCATCAACTTGAAAAACTGCCATAGAAAGGTGTTAACCAAGCACCGGAAATAGCCACATTAGAAATTTACATTGAAATGAATGGAAGGTCAAACTCACATGCGCTGAGTCACCTCCAAAATGTAAAAGCCGTCAAATTGACTGCTCTGGGAGTTGTTAAACGTGGCGTGAAGTTATGTTGTTGCACTTATTGGTTTTGGGCTATTTTCCTTCTGCCGAGGCCTGTCACAAACGTCAAATCAGTTTGTAATCACTGAAAGGAAAACATTGTTCACCGGTTCATCGGTGTCCGTTACCAAACTGGAATCCACTGTATTTCCTTCTTCCTGTTCCAGTTAAAGGGCACGTTTTGCACTTTCTTTTGTTAAGCTCTGAACTTCACAGTATGTTCCAGGACTCTCCCGTTTATGGAGTAGTGTTTAGCCCCGTCCAGGTCCTAAACTTTTGGCACAAATCGGTAAAAAAGTGGTTTCTAACTTGCTGTGACATCATTGATAGACTATGATGTAATGAACTGAGCTGTTGTCACTTCTCTCGCTGAACCACTAGATGGGGGTGTTTCTCTGATCCGTTTATCCATATTGAATCTTAACCAAAATTTATTATTATCATTATTAGTATTATTATTATTATTATTAACTATGTCCTGCAAGTAAATCAGGCGACTCATTCATAAAACTTTAAGTAAAAACATCTATTTTTTTCTTCTCAATTTCTAAATTAAGTCTTTTTTTACACAAATTGAGGTGAAAAGTGACATTTTTGTTGGTTTGCGGTTTTCAAAAGACACGTTTCCACCAGCAGTACTCTCCTCTATTCTCTATTCTACTCTACTGTACTCTACTCTACTCTACCCTACTCTACTCTACTCTACAATACCCTACTCTACTGTACTCTACTGTACTCTACTGTACTCTACTCTGCAATACCCTACTCTACTCTACTGTACTCTACTGTACTCTACTCTGCAATACCCTACTCTACTCTACTCTACTGTACTCTACTGTACTCTACTCTGCAATACCCTACTCTACTCTACTCTCCCCTGATTGGGAGTTTTTCCTCTGGTCCTGTTTAACCAGTTCCAGGTCCTTCTTTAGTCCCTCTTGGTCCTGGTTCTATCCAGGCCGAGCTGGGACTAAAGTGTTCTAACTGACAGTGATTGGCCAGAGTGAAGCCATGGTTACCAGAGAATTACAGATGCTAAAGTGTAATGGAAACACTAAAAGGTAGAGTGGAGTAGAGTCGGGCTGGTGGAAACAGGGCTTAAACGAGGCCGTATGGATCCGTGGTGTGTGAAGCCAGAGAAATGATAATTCTACAGAAAGTAAAGTGTTCCAAAGTTAGAAGCAACAACATCCTCCGCCCTCTGACCTCGATTGTTTTCTATTGTTGTGTTTTTCTGATGTGGTGATGTCACACCCCCATGTGAGGCTGCAGTAGTCATGTTTCTACAGACCATATGGGATTTTCTCACCACACAATGTCCTGAGGGAAAGTCCACGAATGTAACGTCAAACATGATCAGGGCATGACGGCGGAGGCAGGATCCTCGACGTGTTAGCATCTGTAACGTTAGCCGCCTGCGTGTTAGCATCTGTAACGTTAGCCGCCGCAGCCTCTAGCATCTACAGTATGAGGTCATGGAGAAATATACAATAATATCCATTACATCATCACAACACTCGGGTCAAACTCCTACATTAGAATATATAACTGACTTTTCCCAAGTCAGATATTTTTAATCTTTCTTTTAGTGTAGTGTTGATAATTGGCTCACGGCTGTTTAGAAAAACACATTTGAAAATGGATTCCAACAGTGGACAGTGGTCATCCTGCTCCCTATGGACTAAAGGTTCCTATGGGTCAATAGGTCTCTCTCTGTTCTCGCTCCCTGGTATCTCTCTGGCTCTTGTCTCTCTCTCTCTGGTCTCTCGTTCTCTAGTCTCTCTCTCTCTGGTCTCTCTCTCTGGTCTTTCTCTCCCTGGTATCTCTCTCTGGTCTATCTCTCTGATCTGTCTCTCTCTGATCTCTCTCTCTGGTCTCTCTCTCTCTGATCTCTCTCTCGTCTCTCTCTCTCTGGTCTCTCTCCCTCTCTGATCTCTCTCTCGTCTCTCTCTCTCTGGTCTCTCTCTCTCTCTGATCTCTCTCTGGTCTCTCTCTCTGATCTCTCTCTCTGGTCTCTCTCTCTCTGGTCTCTCTCTCTCTGGTCTCTCTCTCTCTGGTCTCTCTCCCTCTCTGATCTCTCTCTCGTCTCTCTCTCTCTGGTCTCTCTCTCTCTCTGATCTCTCTCTGGTCTCTCTCTCTGATCTCTCTCTCTGGTCTCTCTCTCTCTGGTCTCTCTCTCTCTGGTCTCTCTCTCTCTGGTCTCTCTCTCTCTGATCTCTCTCTCTGGTCTCTCTCTCTCTGGTCTATCTCTCTGATCTGTCTCTCTCTCTCTCTGGTCTCTCTCCCTCTCTCTGATCTCTCTCGTCTCTCTCTCTCTGGTCTCTCTCTCTGGTCTATCTCGCTGATCTGTCTCTCTCTGGTCTCTCTCTCTGGCCTCTCTCTCTCTGGCCTCTCTCTCTCTGGCCTCTCTCTCTCTCTGGTCTCTCTCTCTGGCCTCTCTCTCTCTCTGGTCTCTCTTTCTGGCCTCTCTCTCTCTGGCCTCTCTCTCTCTCTGGTCTCTCTCTCTGGCCTCTCTCTCTCTCTGGTCTCTCTTTCTGGCCTCTCTCTGGTCTCTCTCTCTCTCTGGTCTCTCTCTCTCCCTGGTCTCTCTCTCTCCCTGGTCTCTCTCTCTCCCTGGTCTCTCCCGCTGCTGGGATTTAGTGAGAAACCCAAATACATTGATTTAAATTGAACTGAAACAAAGCCTCAGCTTCAGTCCTTTAGCAGGTAATGTCTCTGTGAGAAACTGTTTAACCATAATCTAATCTAATCTAATCTGCTGCATCTAATCCACAACATCCATAAACTACAATTGTACAACTAGCAAGAGAGCGATAGTTCTGTGTTCATTTGTGCCAAAATGCCTGTGTGCGGTACTAAAAGAATCACCAAACCAGTACATAGCAGTGGCCTTGATAAGCAGGGGCCCCTTGAATACTAAGACAACTACAGCATTGCCTTGTCTTGTGTGATATTAGATGGAATTTTTAATATATATTTTTTTCGTCTTGTTTTTCCGAGAGATGATTGTGTGTGTGGTCATCTCTGCTTGGCGTCAGGACATATAAGCTTTAAAGAGATATGTTTAAATCACTGAGTTTGTTGCGCAATGAATATTTTTTCTACTGAATTCACACATGCGCACGTTTAACCAGCTGTGAGTGCTTTTCACAAGACAAGACAGAAAGTATTTATAATCACGGTGCGTTTAAAAGAGTTTGGATCCAGTCTTTCAGTTTCCTGCACAGCTACAAAAACTGCATCACTCTAACTCAGGCATGTCCAAACTCAGGCCCGGGGGCCAATTGCGGCCCTCTGTGTCATTACATGGGGCCCTCTGTCTTGCTAACCCTTAAAGTAGTCTCTGAGATCATAAACACAAGTTCACGGTGTCATCCATCCAACTTCAGCTCAGCCATTATAGACATGTCGTAGCTCGTTCTTAAGCCAAGTACGTCTAGAATTCAGAGACGTCACCATAGTGTTAGCCTAAAAGAAGCTAATTACAGCTAACTCAAACAGGCTATGTGGAGCCAAATGTATGCTAATTCTGTGATTAAGCTGGAGCCAATAGCAAAAAACACAGCTCCTGATTGGTTGGTTGCTCTGGACATCTGGATTTGCAAAAACAATATCACAATACAAACTTCAGGATTGCTAAACCATAGACTTTTAGCACGCGGATCCCTGCCATTTTGAAACCACTAGAACTCCCAAAGCCGTCATTTTGACTGCTTTCATTCAATCCAATGGAGTTTTGAGAAATTGTCCCAAAAAGTTTTCACCAATTTTATCAAAAGTGAGTCATTTATCAGGTTTTTACTTGTTTTGATATGTGTGAAAACTGGTGAACTTAGCAAACAATGTGTTAAAAGGCTAATGCTAAAGGCTAAATGCTAAACAGATAGATGCTGTGGTAACTGGCATTTGCTCTCCTCTGGTGGACCACCGAGCTGAACCAGAGCTAGCACCTTGACTAGAAAGAAACTGAACAAAAATGGCAAATATTTGAATTTAGCATTTTTAGCAAGGTCAAAGATATATAGAAGGGTTTTCTACTTCCGGGTGAATCATCAAGACTATTGGTCCTCCCAATTGTCAATCATTCTGGTGGTACTGTAAATATTCGTCAGATAAGACCAGTGAGTTTTGTTCAAAGAGTGGAGAGGGCGGTTTTTTCCTCAAATTTAAAACACTTTACCATAAAAAAAATACCTTTAAAGTTAGAAGTTCTTCCATTTCAGAAATAAAAGATAATTTCAGAACCTTAACCTAATTCCTAACCCTAATTTTGGCTCCGTCTTGGCTCCATCTTGGCTCCATCTTGGCTCCATCTTGGCTCCATTTTGGCTCCGTCTTGGCTCCATCTTGGCTCCATTTTCGCTCCATCTTGGCTCCATCTTTGCTCCATCTTGGCTCCACCTTGGCTCCGTCTTGGCTCCATCTTGGCTCCATCTTGGCTCCATCTTGGCTCCGTCTTGGCTCCATCTTGGCTCCATCTTGGCTCCATTTTGGCTCCGTCTTGGCTCCATCTTGGCTCCATCTTGGCTCCATCTTGGCTCCATCTTGGCTCCATCTTGGCTCCATTTTGGCTCCGTCTTGGCTCCATCTTGGCTCCATCTTGGCTCCATCTTGGCTCCATCTTGGCTCCATTTTGGTTCCGTCTTGGCTCCATCTTGGCTCCATCTTGGCTCCATCTTGGCTCCATTTTGGCTCCGTCTTGGCTCCATCTTGGCTCCATCTTGGCTCCATCTTGGCTCCATCTTGGCTCCATTTTGGCTCCGTCTTGGCTCCATCTTGGCTCCATCTTGGCTCCATTTTAGCTCCATCTTTGCTCCATCTTGGCTCCATCTTGGCTCCATTTTGGCACAATCTTGGCTCCATCTTGGCTCCATCTTGGCTCCATCTTGGCTCCATCTTGGCTCCATCTTGGCTCCGTCTTGGCTCCATCTTGGCTCCATCTTGGCTCCATTTTGGCTCCATCTTGGCTCCATCTTGGCTCCATTTTGGCTCCGTCTTGGCTCCATTTTGGCTCCGTCTTGGCTCCATCTTGGCTCCATCTTGGCTCCATCTTGGCTCCATCTTGGCTCCGTTTTGGCTCCGTCTTGGCTCCATCTTGGCTCCATCTTGGCTCCATCTTGGCTCCATCTTGGCTCCATCTTGGCTCCGTCTTGGCTCCATCTTGGCTCCATCTTGACTCCATCTTGGCTCCATCTTGGCTCCATTTTGGCTCTGTCTTGGCTCCATCTTGGCTCCATTTTGGCTCCGTCTTGGCTCCATCTTGGCTCCATTTTCGCTCCATCTTGGCTCCATTTTGGCTCCGTCTTGGCTCCATCTTTGCTCCATCTTGGCTCCACCTTGGCTCCGTCTTGGCTCCATCTTGGCTCCGTCTTGGCTCCATCTTGGCTCCATCTTGGCTCCATTTTGGCTCCATCTTGGCTCCATCTTGGCTCCATTTTGGCTCCGTCTTGGCTCCATTTTGGCTCCGTCTTGGCTCCATCTTGGCTCCATCTTGGCTCCATCTTGGCTCCATCTTGGCTCCGTTTTGGCTCCGTCTTGGCTCCATCTTGGCTCCATCTTGGCTCCATCTTGGCTCCATCTTGGCTCCATCTTGGCTCCGTCTTGGCTCCATCTTGGCTCCATCTTGACTCCATCTTGGCTCCATCTTGGCTCCATTTTGGCTCTGTCTTGGCTCCATCTTGGCTCCATTTTGGCTCCGTCTTGGCTCCATCTTGGCTCCATTTTCGCTCCATCTTGGCTCCATTTTGGCTCCGTCTTGGCTCCATCTTTGCTCCATCTTGGCTCCACCTTGGCTCCGTCTTGGCTCCATCTTGGCTCCATCTTGGCTCCGTCTTGGCTCCATCTTGGCTCCATCTTGGCTCCATCTTGGCTCCATCTTGGCTCCATCTTGGCTCCATCTTGGCTCCATCTTGGCTCCATCTCGCCGTAATTTAAACTGGACACCACATTAATAACGAGGAGGGTTTGGGCGCATTTCTTTTTAAAACCCTGGCCTTTGCAGACAACTCTATTACCGCAATCTGTTCAAGGAATGGTTTCGAGTTACAGAACCAGAGAATGGATTCAATTTGCCCCGTCTTCCAGCGCCGTACATGCCCAGGGTTTGGACCCCCCCCCCCCCCCCCCTGGCCCCCGCTGCTCTGTCCGGTGCATTCCTGATACAACAGTCACTTGCTAAATACTGCTCACTTCCTGGCCTGTGTAAGCGTGTGTGTGTGTGTGTGTGTGCAGATGAAAACAATTGTGCGGCTGACATTAAGTGGGCTCAGTGTAGAAGGCTTTTTGAAACATGGTCAACATTCCCACCGTGTTTGAAGCGCCGCCAAAAAGGGAGACCATTGTTTTTGTTGCTCTGAGCCGGTGAAGGAGGAGGACACTCGGAGCTCTCCTTCGCACAGATGTTGTTGGGAAAAGTGTACTTTATGGCAACACACAAACACAACAGCAGGAGGGAGGAATTTATAAGGATAGATTTTGGTTTGATCGGCGTGGTTGGGATCAGTGTAAAACCATAAATACTTCTGTACTTTTCTGATTATAAGTGGCACAAGCCGAATATGCATCGACAGAACGACAAATCTCTTTAACTTTTATTTCAAGGGGATCCTGCAGTTATCAAACTAAAGCGTATTACGGCAGAAGCAGAAACTAAAGGCCAAAGTGAATATCTTCAAGGTCGTGTTAAAGCGACAACATTATAACATTTGTTTTTCTTTAGTAGAAACATTTCTTTGGGATACTTTACGAATAGTTTGTTGATTTATTAAGTTATTCTCGAAACGCAGTGAATCGTGCTTTTCATTTCACAAATCAATCAGGTCCTGGTGCTCACAATGGCTCTCTGTTTAACCATGTGTGTGTGTGTGTGTGTCTGTGTGTGTCTTTCTGTCTGTGTGTGTCTGTCTGTCTGTCTGTGTGTGTCTGTCTTTCTGTGTGTTTGTCTATGTGTGTGTCTGTCTGTCTGTCTGTGTCTGTGTGTGTATGTGTCTGTCTGCCCATCCGTGTGTGTGTGTGTCTGTCTTTCTGTGTGTTTGTCTATGTGTGTGTCTGTCTGTCTGTCTGTGTCTGTGTGTGTATGTGTCTGTCTGCCCATCCGTGTGTGTGTGTGTCTGTCTTTCTGTGTGTTTGTCTATGTGTGTCTGTGTGTGTGTCTGTCGGTGTGTGTGACTATGTGGGTGTGTGTCTGTGTGTGTGTCAATGTGTGTCTGTGTGTGTGTCTTTCTGTCTGTGTGTGTATGTGTCTGTCTGTCTGTGTGTGTGTCTGTGTGTGCGTGTGCCCATATGTGTGTGTCTGTACATCTTGTGTGTGTGTCTGTACATCTGTTTGTGTGTGTGTGTGTCTGTCTGTCCATCTGTATGTCTGTCTGTATGTCTGTCTGTGTGTGTGCGTTTGTGTTGCATTAATTATTTTAGCTTCTGATCCTGGTTCAGAGAAATGCACAGAAACCTTTCCTTTGACGTTCTGTAGAAGCTTAAGAAGAAAAGTGTTGTGGACTTCTCCCGAGGCTGGAACTCAGAGGAGAGTGAACGGGAATGTGTTTCTGTTTTCAAACGATAATTATAATGACCTTTTAGACTTATGCACATGGAGCCAACAGCTGTAGTACCCGCCCCCCGCTGTCGGCCAATCAGCTGCAGCACCCGCCCCCTCTCTCGGCCAATGAGAACCCTGTATCAGAGTATATATTTTGTATGATATGTGTAAATACGGTGAAAATATGATTGATATCTGTACATGGAGCTGTCTGTGTTGTTCTCTGTGTGTTTTTAAAATATATATATCTGACATAAAAAGGTTTTGGTCGTGTCTTTTTGTTGTCGATCCCAAATCCGACCATCCATTGTCTTCCGCTTTATCTGTAGCCGGGTCACAGGGGCAGTCGTCAAAGCAGAGGCGCCTAGACTTCACTCTCTACACACTTCAGCTCAGCCTCCAGCTAACAAATGCTAACGAAGTGCTAATTAGTGGATAACCCACATGGGAAAGTTTCAGTTAGTACTTAGATGTTGAATTTGGCTAATAAATGCTTTATGAATACCAATTAAGAGATAATTAACCATACGTTATACACTGATTAGCACTTAGCTAACTGTGAATATGTTAAACTAAAGTGAAGAAGAAGAAGGTCCTTTATTTGTCCAACAATGGGGAAATTCCAGTTTGATGCACACACAAACACAGTGTGACACAAACATATATTTAAAAATGTCTAATTAGTGATCTACACATTTTTACAATCTAACTTGTGTTTCCGGAATCACATGTAGCTCTTAAGCTAACTCGAGACAAATGTAATCCACCTGCTGGAGTTCAGCAGGAAACAGTGGAAACTCAGTGTGTTACACATTACTTACACTAGAATACACTTTACACTTGCTTTTTATTTTGACAAATGTAAAAAATGTTAAACTACTTTATTATAGATTTATTGATCCCTGTAGGAGAAATTCATTTGTCCAATAGAAAATAAAAAACAAAATAAAATTGATCATTCTAAAAAAAACTAACTATAGTAATAATAACAAACAGCAGCAGAGGTGGAGCCGCTTGGTTCAGAACATTCTCGGCTCTGGTCCAAAGTAAAAGGCTTCATTAGCATTTTTCATTAAGCTAGCATTCCTCCAGTGGATTTTCTCCTGATCCACTTGGTTCGGACCCTGAATCCTCTCTGCTCTGGTCTGGACCAGTGTAAAACCATGAATCCTCTCTGCTCTGGTCTGGACCAGTGTAAAACCATGAATCCTCTCTGCTCTGGTCTGGACCAGTGTAAAACCATGAATCCTCTCTGCTCTGGTCTGGACCAGTGCAAAACCATGAACCCTCTCTGCTCTGGTCTGGACCAGTGTAAAACCATGAACCCTCTCTGCTCTGGTCTGGACCAGTGTAAAACCATGAACACTAAACTGCAGAAACATCAACAGTTTCTTAGCTCTTGGTTAAAACTGAACTGTGATAAAGATTTACATGTTTTACTTGTTCTTTCTTTGATTCTAGAGCGAGATACTTTCTTTAGTACAGAGTTACTCTTCATGTGTCTTGTGCTGCGTGCTCCTCGTTCCTACTGTTCTGTAACTTGTGATGCAACACTGACATTTCCCCGCTGTGGGATGAACAAAGGATTTCTAACTCTCTTAATATTAATCTTATTCAGAATCATTTGTTTCCAAAATCCATGAATCACAATCACGATCTTGACCACATGTGCCCCTAACATTAATGCTGTGAAAAAGTTTGAATAAATGCTTTTTTTGGTTCCTGGACAACAGTCAAAGTATTTTCTCCGCCAGAATGAGCCCCGAGCTCGGAGCCAGAGTCTGGATTGTGAAACGCATCATTAAAACCATGAAGCCTGAGGGCTGAGAACCCACATCCTGCTGCAGCTATTGTCAAACGCTTTAGTAACGTTTTAATTAACAGATAAGGAACCAATTATTCTGCAAAGGAAGGTTCTCGTTGGTTCTTTCAGACGAATACGTTTTGTGTCGGCGTCGCATATTCATGGTTTTAACTAAACCTAAAAAGATAAGTATATTCAGAAGTCATAAGAGTGATGTCATCGTGGACTTCAGAGAGAGACAAAATACAACAGATATTGGATTTTTGTCCTCTCTTTTGGAAAGGGGCGAAGCTAATTGTGGGATTCAGTTATTATGGTCCCAGCTAAGTCTGTCCAACCTCGTGGAAAGTGGGAGAGGTTATTGTTAATACAGTAGAAGCAGACATTAAAGGCCCAAGTAAAGATTCTCAAGGTTAAAGCGCCAAAATGATCAAAACATTTTGGAAACATTTCTTTGGGAAACTTTACAAATAGTTTGTCAGTGTTGATTTATTATGTAATTCTCAAAACGCAGTGAATCATCCATACATCCATCTATCCATGTTCTTCCCCTTAATCAATCAATCAATCAATCAAGTTTATTTATAAAGCACAATTCATGCAGTGCAGCCCAAAGTGCTTCACAAGAACACAAGATCATACACATTTACAAACATTTTAAAACACATAAAACGTAATATAAAATAATAACAAAAACAATAATAATTGTTGCATAAAAATAAACATTTCAAACTGAATTTCAGAATTAAAAACGGTATAAAAATCTCAATATATAAAAGTCAGTCATATACACAGCTAAAAAGAACGGTTTTCAGCTTAGACTTAAATAATGCTAAAGATGAGGCCTCCCGTACATCCTCAGGAAGGCTGTTCCAGATTTTTGGGGCATACACCTGAAATGCAGCCTCTCCATGCCTAGTCCGGACTCTGGGCACCATCAGGAGTCCAGTCCCTGTGCTCCTCAGAGTCCGAGTTGGCTCATACGGCACCAACATGTCACCAATGTATTTCTGGGTCGGGGGGGTGGCCAGAGATGCCACCCAGTCCACAGAGCACCAGCCCCTCACTGATGCAGGTGCTGAGTCCACAGGAGCTGAGGGCTTTCAGCAGGGGCTTCAGGCAAAGTGGGGTTAAGTGTCTTGCCCATGGGCACAACAACAGCAGACATCAGTGGGAGTCGAGAAGTAGGTCTCGCAGTGGGCTCGAACCCATGACCTTCAGGCTCACAGCTCAGTGCTCTACCAACTGAGCTTCTGTCGCTCAAAAAGGCCCCAGCGTTATGTGTCATTTTGTGTCTGAGCTGGACTGGGGACGCCTCAGGACTGTGTCTAATGAGCTGGAGCCAGTGCAGGGCAGGGCCTGGTTAGTGCTGTGATGGGAGACCTCTGGGAACAGCAGGAGCCACAGTGGGGCGGTTGTAAAGTGCCAAACTGTGGCTGTGTCCTTAGGCAAGACACACACATTAGAATGAGTCTGGTGTGTGTGTGAATGGTTGGTGGTGGTGGGAGGGGCCGATGGCACAGACTGGTTGCCTCGCTTCTGTCAGTGTGCCCCAGGGCAGCTGTGGCTACAGTAGTAGTT